TGGAAATAACTACAGATATAACTTACCGTATACTGCTTATCCTGTAGCGCTTCGGTCGTCTGAATAACGCCACTGGAGCTGTCTATTGAGAAGCCAGTGATCGCATCAAGTAGCGCGTAGTGGACCTGTCCGGCGCTAGCCGAATCGCGGTCCTCTGCGTGTACGGTAGTAACTACGGTGCCTGGTGGTGAATTTATGGGTAACACTGAGTGCACCATTGAGCACGGGAACTCCGGCACATTGTCATTGACATCCTAGAAAGGAGATTGAATTCATTCTTTGTATTTTTAGGGCAAATGTACTTGGTAAGGGAGGAAGGGGTGGGCAGTGCGCGCAGCGGTTTGAATACGCCACGTCACACCTTGTCTTGACATGTTACTGTTGCGCCACCCACGTTTTTGAAAAAGTTTCAAACGAGTGATGCTCCAGTTCCTCACTTTCTCATGCAGGATTCTTTTGAAAGTCTCTTGAGCACTATTTCGATGGGAGGATGCAGACAAGCAGACATGACGTGATGTATGTAGTGGCGCCGCTGCGTGCTTCTCCCCTCCCCAACTGAACTGGTCTTGTGTCCACAGGTGCAATACCATACCTTAATGTTGACTGGCAAAATCGTAGCGGTGCACAGTTCTGGACGCCCATGATCGCACACTTCGATTTCCAATTCAAAATCTGGCTTTTCTTAAGGTAATTATTGCGGGAGCTTCGAGCGATTTCGCGAAATATTCGGTGCTCTATCCCGCTCCGGATAGTCGATGTACAGCAGACGGCAGTTGTTCCCTCGCGTCGCTGGAATGGACCAGCACTTAAAAGTGGAGAGTATTGAATCGCTTTTCATCCTACTTTCTCAGTTGGTTTTCCGCTCTGCAATCAGTCGGGGCATCGGTGGCACAATTAAAATTTCAGTTACTTTGATTTGGTTTCTTTCCTTCTAACTGTGTGTCCTGTTTGACAATGAGTTTGTTCTCTTAACTGTGGGCACCTGGCTCTGAGTGTAGTTTGAATAAATAAACAAATAATTAAATGTGGTTTTCAAAATCAATTGGAGGATTAAACAAAGGAATTGAAAGGATGGTACAGGAAACCAGCGCTGATACACGGGTCACGCGAGCATGCTGGGACACGCGGCCGGCCGCTCGTTTCGGCGGGCGGCTCTTGGACGCTGCTTCCGTGGGTGGCGCGTTCGGCGCGATCGATGCGCATGCTTTAAACTGCATCGATCGCGTCGAAACGCGCGACCAAAGGTCTGCCGTCGCGAAGTCTGAACGCTGCCTTATAGAATTCGGTGCTACTCCACTCCTCCCATACCGATGAGCACTGAGGTAGGGTCATGCTTCCGCTCGGCTTCCGTCTAGGGGCACGTGCGAAATGTAAGCTGAGGTACCTCTTTGCTTTCGATCCCTCCCCCCAATGATTATCTTTTGGTCGATTTTTCAACACAGTCACTTAATTTCGATTTTGTTTTTCGACTGTTTTCACGTCACGTAATAGCAACAACAGCGGTAATTCTACAGAGCGATTTATTTCTAATACTAGAGATTTACCAGCCGTCTAGGGACCGCACGCATCTCTGGGGTGCAAGTCACAGCAAGTGGCTATTTCGCAGAGAGTGTCATCAGTAACAACAAAGATATGTATTGGGGACATAATAAGGGTTGAGTAAAAGTAAAAATACAAATACAGCGAACATTCAGGAGTTATGTTTTACTTACTCGAGAATTGAGAGGCAGATTACTACTGAAGCAGGTATCTTGTTATAAAGAAGGTTGTTGAACTCACTTCATCCAACGCCTTCACAGTGAACACCACGCTTCCAACCGTCGTGTCTTCAGAAATCGATAATTGATCTGGCAAGTCGACGAATGATGGCGCATGGTCGTTCACATCGATGATCATTACAGTAACTGTCGCGGTTACTGTATGGATGCTTGGTGGAGGAAGCTGGACAAGGATTTCCAGTGCATAGTTATCCCTTCGGTTGACATCCATAGTCGACACGGTGGTGATAATTCCTGTAAAATACTGGGGATTCCCGTTAGATCGATAATTGATCAGCTGTAGTGGCAACTAATTTCCGTGGGAGGAGGAGGGGCACGCTACTGACCAAGCTCATGAGGAGGAGACGCTAGATTGAGGCCGGGTTTCTTGTAATCCTTAGGAACCGGTGAGGGGTCCACAGAGGCTTGCGTGGGAGTAGTGCGTGATCACGGTGGTCGAAATTCTCGCGAAAATATGATTTCCACTGCAGAATATTCTCGTCTGAAACAACCTCGAATTTTTCACCCTGCCTACCCTTAACTAAAATTTCCTGAAATTTCTTAGCTGTTTTTCGCGAGGTTTTCCATGATATTTCGCTGAGTTTTCTTACAGAAAAAGCTACGCGAAGCAGGGATGGACAGAGGTATAACGCGCAACTTAAAAACGAACCCTCCTAGTGACCAACAACTTCCTTCGCTGGAGATCCCCAACGGTAGACAAGCAGGAAAAGGCTGGAGATCCCCAACGTACGACAAGCAGGAAAAGGCTTACGACCCAGCTTATAAACCCCTCCGTGGTTGGTATGGATGTCATCGTATCCACTGATTTCGCAGGTCCCTGAGTGGGTGGAATACCAATTCAAGCACTTCACGATTCTGACTAGGGGTCGAGAGCATGGCGCATCTCACGTAAAAATTGACCAATCTTGATTTTTCCATAGATTATAAAACGTCGTAAGGAAATGTACGAAGAGCTCACCGCTTTCTCGATCCACCTCGAATGGAACATCCCCGCTCAGGGTGAACTCGCATCCAGACGAATTCGTATGCACTTGCGCCACGAAAGTACCCACAGGTGAATCCTCTGCTATAGAAACGCTTAGCTCTCGTTCGACAATCACCGGAGAGGACGTCAACTTTGCTTCATTATAGACCTGAAAAACGGATATTTTCGGGGGCGGACAAGCATATGTACCTTAGTATCTTCAGGAACCTTGAGGGTAGCATTCGACAGACGTTGTGGCATTTGTCCGTCGCTGGCAACGAAGACCAGGTTATACTCGGATTTCGTGATATCTATGGCGTTTTTGAGGAGTTTCAGTATCGAAAACTGTCGCTGCACGTTGAGATCGAAAACGTTGTCTTCGTTACCCGACTCTATCCATACCGAGGACGAATCTGGAAGGTATAAAGCCAGTTAAGCAGGTCTCTGTAACTATAAGCTGAATTATTAGTATGTGAAGGATGAAAAAATCTTTCACCGATCATTTGGGCGGAGACGGGCCTACTATCGTGCCTCCCTCCTTGACGTCTTGCCCCTTTTTTAACGATAGAGAGCAAGAGCACGCGAGTGACAAGGACACAACGGTAGGTCCGTTACCGCCCACACAATCAGTGTAGAATATGCTTTCAACGAATTCTTGGCACAATCACATAATAAATGATGGAGACATCTGGGTTTGGGCAGCATGAGCCTCTGTGGTACATTTGAAGGCGCATGTCATGCTAGTCGTATGGGCGGAGTCAGACTACCAACCACCTCAGAAAGAAAGATCTTATCATGAAGAAATGCACAACGGTGGATTTGCTCCCGCTCCATTGCAACGGCCCTCAGCAGTGCCTTTAATAGCTCGCCATGAGTGCAGTGCGCTTTAGGCGGCAGTACATAGTTCCAGCTAGCTTGTGCAGGTAACATTGTGATGATCTATAAAGTCCTGTCATCGAAGTGGCTCACTCGAACAGATTCGCAGTTTCATAGGAGGTAACAGGTCTGATCAAATGGTACCAGATTTATCATGAGCTAACAAAAGGGACTAGCGGAAGTGCAAAATGCCCCCTCCAAGCGCAACCAGCGCAGTCCCTTATTACTCCGTTTGATTTGCAAAAACACCGAAGTCTAGGACAATTCAAAAGCACGGCCGAAGCCTGACAGTGGTCCATCCTTTCATCACGTTAGCGTAAGCACGGCCGACAGTTCTTACACGGGCTACCAACCTCAATCAACGCCCGAAACGACTGCTTGATAGAAGGGTTGCAATCTGCGAGTTAATCACACTATTTCTTCATCCATTAATTACTCTCACTGATTACTATTTATTACCTATTTCTCTTTATTACGTGGTTGAAAGTACGTTCCATACAATTACATCACCAGTTTTGTCATCAATTCTTTTAGATGACCAATAATCTGGAATCCTGTCCGCATGCCGCATGCAGGAGAGGGGAGGGCTGCGTTTTGCGGCAGCACTCGAGCACCGTTTTCACAATCTGTTGTCGTCCGTTTCAAAAACCCGCCACCCCCTGACACGGCCCAGCAGCCGAACGCGAACAAGCACTGGAGCAGTCGTAATATTTACATGGAATTGATGACTGCTTTACCTTTCAGCCACCCTTTTACACTAATTATCATTACTTCATCACCTCAATATCGTATATCTCTTACCGTTTTTTCAATCCAACCTTACCTTATTGTTATTTGCGGATCATGGAGATTCTCGTTACTGAGCAAGATTCTGAGCAGTACAGTACTTTCCAAGGGAGGTGTCCCATGATCAGCAGCACGAATCGAAACAAAGCACACCGTACATGGTGGAGACGAACAGCACGGCGGGGTATCTTTCTGGAAGTGCACATTTGGAGCTATCATAAGGAAGCTGGTTACAACGGTAACCTTGACAGTTAGGAGCCATAATTGCAAGGTTCATGCGATCCAATTTCTGACTAGAAATGTTGCTTAAAATCGGGAACTCTGTTCTGAGCAAAGACTTCGTCTTTGTTCGAGCCATCAGCTATACAACTCATTCTGTGCAGCACCATACCATGGTGAAATGAAACTCGTCTTTTAACGTGATCCTGACCCTTTGCCGCCACCTCTGTTAGGACTGGCGTGGTGCGTACGTTATTTGAACATGGATTTGTGGATTATTTCATTTTGGGGCCACTGACTGTTGGACAGAATGTCCCACAATAAAACATCTCATCAAAACCGCTGGGCCGCTGCCATGCTTGCATTACAAGGTACGCAGCCGCGCCCATGGCAACTCATGTATTTGGAGTATACTTCCAGTTTCTGGGAAATCTCGTGAGCCGAGGGGAGGGGCAAGTTAGGGATCTCGTTTCCACGCTCTCTTCATAAACACGGACCTCTCTCAGCATACGACCCAAGTTACAGCATCGTTGGGAGAATCCCATTGGGCGCTACTATTAGGTTGTTCGGAAAGGAATGCGCGTTTGAGTGTAAAAAATTTTTATTATAAAAACGAAATTAAACAAGGTCAATCTAAAAGATAATCTCCATTACTAGCAATGACTTGTTGCCAACTGTACGCAAAAACTTCGCCAAAAGAGCCTCTTTCACTACTTTTCCCCTCGGGTGTGTCGTTAGGTCCGCCGGAGAGGAAATGTAGGTCAAAAGAGCCTCTTTTTGCCAGTTTTCTCGCCGAGTGTGTCGCTAGGTCCGCCCGCTGCCCCTGTGAGCCGAGTGGGTCATTAGGTCCACCCAAGTGCGTCGTTAGGACTTGCTTGAAGTCTTACCACATACAAGCTCGCATTCGAAATTTTTGGTCGAGCATTTTCTAAACTTTTTTTCTCTAAAAAAACAAGGTAGACATAGAAAAAATATATCAAAAGATGCGCAATAAAAACCTCTCTCTAATGGACAAAACTGTTTTGAAAAATCTCCTATAGTAGAAGAGAAATAAATAGACAAAGTCAACGCGCATTCCTTTCCGAACAACCTAATATTTAGTCGGTAGGAGAGTGTGCAATCGTGAGGGCGGGGCTGAGTAAGTAATGAAAAACAAGCAAGTGAAATAATGAAGCGTTTTTTAGAGGAAGGATCGTACTGACACCGCCATTTCATCCATCCCGATGCTGGACCATAATACGACCCGCTTGCCAGAGAGATTCGAATACGTCCCCACGATCCCACGATCCTCAAGGGTTATTTGGCCTCTGGACAACACTGCTTCCCTTTTTATCATTACACTCAGGGCACTTCCTGTAACTGGAAAAAAATTTGCACAATGCGACCTCCCTACGAATTCCCTCCATTCGTGCGACCGCCCCCTCCTCCCCGTCCTCATTCTACCTATAATCTTCCTAAATTTTCCAAGTTTTTCACCACTTTCTTGACATAAAGTGTACATGAAGCAGGAAAAACCGAGAAAGTTAACAACCAGAAACATCTTTTTCAAAGACTGATGCGACCTCCCTTTTTCCTCCCTAGCATCGACCAAATGTGACCTCCTCGCTGCAGATCCCCCACCTACGACTTGCCCGGTTATACTAGCAAGGAAATCACCCATTAGTTCCTCAATTCGTTTCCTTTTCATTGATTTATCTGATTCCTTCCCATTTGTCAACGGCTATCCATACAAGCGTGGTTTTTCTGCGCAAAATTGTCGGCGGACATCAAAGTGACACGTTAGGTGAATGGAACGAATCGTATGACAAGGATCGTTGACGATCGCTACGCGCGACACAAACCCAAGCGCCATTTGCCAAGGTCAACGACGCTAACATGCCGTGGAAAATTTGATTTGGAAATTCCCCAAGAGCCTTGATTCCAGGAACTCGGAGGGAAATGTTATAATTCCAAGCCAGTCGGCGTCTTTTCCAATTTAAGCGCTGGGAGGCTTACCTTCTGCTTGGACAGCCCTTGTCGAATCTCCGCTGTGCAGCTGTTAGAAGTACAAATCGTTCTGAACAAAGTTACAACAAAGGAATGAGGTCCCAGGGTTGTGGTGGTTTTTAGAGCTGTGCTTTTTATTCCATCCAAGACCAGAAGCCTGAACTAAAGGATTAGCTCCAGGGCACGTCGTACGCTGGGGAATCCCTAGCGTAGGGGCCCTATTTGGTTGCTGAAGAAAGGATGCTGGGGTCGTGTTAGGCCTGCAGAAAATATTTGATTGTTGATTCTTCTTGTTTCACACGTGCGCTATTCACAACGTGGGGAGGTTCCGACTAGGGGAGAGGAGGGGACGGGGTTGGGTCGTCGATTTCCCTTCCCCGTAGTTGGCAACTCAGCAAATTCCTAAGTCCTATACAACTATTTACTACTTCCGACAGCTGAAATTAGTGGCTGTTTGGTGGTCTCCCCCGTCTTCCCGCTCGATTGCAGTTTATGGGGAGAAGTTAAAAATGTTCTGGAAAAATGTGAGTCTTTCTGAAAAAGCGGAAAGGAATGGTGGGAAGTTGGGAAAAGTGAGGAAGATAGGAAGTACCAAAGGAAAAGATTTGGATGCTCGTCTTTTGCAAAAATCTTTCCCACTACAGAAAATGCCCTGGTTGCCACCAATTTTCAATTAAAAAGCTTGAAGGGGTATTTTGACCATCTGCTGGGTCCTCCAAATAACAGGGCTAATTGGGAACACACATGCGGCTCTTAGAGGTGCGTTACGCAACCGCTCGTGCCTTTCCTCGTTATTTTGCCCTTAAATGTCGAATTTTTTCCGCCTGACTAGATTATTTACGGGGTACATTATTTCCGTGAAGGGATAAAGAAAACAGTACTCTTCGTAACGTTAAGACGAATGTCTTGGCGTTTTCGGAATGCGCCAGTCCTTTGCCCAAACCATGGCTTACGGGACTAGCCGACGTACAAGTCAGAAAAGCCGCTCCAGCCAAGCAAAGCAAGGGACCAAATAGACCATTCCGGATGGTTTCTAGGTTTGGTTAGGCGACAACCGATCCTCCCCGTCCCGTCCATTTACGGAACAAGTTGACCATAAGCTCTAATCTGAGTGTCCCTGTGAAGACTTAACAAGTTGGGTTTTCTCAGCAGTACGCCAAGCTCTGCCATTTCATGCTCTTTCCAGCTCAGCCGTATCCTTGCCTCCCTAGTTTTCATGCGCTGCTGTCAACAATGCGCAGAAACAATAACACGTTTGCGTTGTTTGCTCTTCTACTGTTTGTTTGAAGACCGACAGGGTCGATTCATGCGCCATGGGCGGGCGCTACAAGTGGGTGAGGTCAGGGTTCCTGAGTAAGGTCAAACACACCTGCACATGAGATCATGTGCAAAGGAATTCAAAGACCAATCAGGCGAGCACACTACCAAACCTCAAAAGCGCCATATATGGCACTCATCTCATCAAAAAGCAGAAATGACTGTCAATTACTAGAAGAACTGTACAAGGGCCGTTGAAAGTATTCTCGGTGTCGGGGTAATTCAGCAGTGACGAAGGAATCATTTCAATCAGAGGACGTCCTAAGCTGGGGAATCCCCAGCGGGAAGTCGTACTTGGTCTCGCATGGGTCGTATAAGCTCGTCGTTGGATGAGAGAGGGGGTCGTATCTGCCTTCGAGAGAAACTTGCCGCGTTGCTTTTTTCGGTTTTCTCAGTTTCCCCCATTCTACTGGTGCTATATACCCTCCCCCTCCTATGATTCGAACAGGTGCCTATATTACCCCTTCCTTCGCCTTTCGGCGCTCGACAGAAACAATTTGGGGAAAAACCTGGAAACAAAATTTAGGAACTCCCGGAAAAGCGAGAGGAG